TAGAATTCGTATCGCGACATAATGTATGAATGAAACATAACATTAATATAACATAATATGAAGCAATGCAGTGCATTAATACATTGATCATTAAGATATAAACATAATACAATTATTTTAATTGAAAGATATTCCAAAGATAATATAAGAAGCAAAGAGAAGAAATTAATTATAACAAAATTTAGTACAGAAGCAAGTGTACAGTAAAATGCATAAAATAATATAATGGTATGTAACATTAAGACATAAACTTAATGCAATCATTTTAACGAATAAATACAACATTTGATTTCATTATTTTCACGTGCACGCGTCCCTCCTGAAGGAGAGGTCTGGGTTAGTTTTGCAACCCGAAATGTACAATCTAAATAACCCATGTGCTATTAGAAATGAATTTTAAATTAGAAATATGTTTTCGTAATCCTACATTCTCTAAATTTAATAGCAGCGGTTAGTACATTTTGCCAGCACTACGTTTTTCGTATTCAATTTTCTACAATAATGTATACGTTCATTTCTGTCAAACAGAATGATAACTTTGGCTTCCGGATTCAAGCTTTCGCGCGATAACGCAGCAGCCGAACGCTTCCGGGTTGTTTTTTTTGGTTTTTCGGGCAGACGGGTGAGAGGGGGTCGAGCGTTTTGGTGTCTGGCGGAGCATGTGCGTGCCGTGTGATTGTATTCATATAATATGTTCTACATTTAGTTAAATAAACTATTTTTTCATTCATTAAGAACCACGCTCTGCAACCTAACTTTGACAATTTCCTTTCATAGCTTTCGTCTTTCAATATTGTACCTTACTTTTTAATATTGCAAAAAAAATGTAAGGATGTTATGACCGCGCCAAGGTTACGCGTTGCGGGAGTCACCCAACGGTACAAGTTTATGACGATATTGTTCTTCGCCTCGGTGGTACTGCGCGAACGGGACCGACTGCCGACCAAATGATGGAACCTTCGTCGTTTATTGTACAAGGGTGTCGAAAAGATTAAAAAGGTACACAATTGAAGTCGAATGGACAAGACATACGGGAAATTGAATGGCTAAATTGGAGTTTTGTTCAAAAGTAATAACCGCTGCTATGAAGCAGTATGAATGTTTGCAAGTTACAATACTGCAAGAATATTAAGAATCTGTAAGCAAATGATGGGATATAAATATAAGAGACAGTTATTTTTACTTCATCGAAAAGGCAAAACTGATGAATTATCCCACATTTCCCTCAATACGAATTCTATGTTATTAAATATAGTCCGATTTACGTCAGTTTTGGACTTATTTTCATCAAGAGAATCTCCTATATTTATTCATAACAGTTTTAAGAAAGTCCACCGAAAGGAGTAAAAGTTTACATTTTTATTCATGGGTGATTCATTCCGTGTGTTACATTCTAACCCGAGGGTCGGGTGCCGGCGGCCAGATAACATCTCTACGCGCCGAGGCTTCGAATACCAGAGCCTCGGGTCTCCCCTGAGAACATAAATCTGTTATCCGACAGTATTGTCAACCGAAGTATCAGCTCGTTCGAACAAGCTCGAACACCAAGGCTCGGTTACCCATCACTACTCTTGAGCCCTCGGCTCTTAACATAGTGGAACACACTCCGTTTGTGTTTGTGTAATCCATCAGTACATAAAATTAATGTTGCTTGCGGTTAAAACAACAACAGCTGCATATCGCACTGTTTGAAATAATATTTTGATAGAGTACAAAGATATTTTCAAATTAATTATTCTTAGTTGAAAGAAGCTCACCACCTTCTCATTGTTTGCATCGAGCAATGGCATCGTTTTAATAAATAATTAATAATCAAAGAAACTGATATGTATCTGATTATCATAAACAGAGTGTAATTGGAGTGTGAAGTGAACTGAAACTTGGGTGTTTTTAGACATCATTGAAGTAATATGGGATGCCAGTGGTGCGATCGGCCGACCGTGATCGTTGAGCGTGCGCCTCACTTAACTGAAACGGGGCGCACCACTGCCTATTTAGACTGTTTCTTGCGGAGTTAAATTTAACATCTACATTTTCAAATGCAGCTTATCTTGTAGGTAGGTTTTCAAGGAATACGATCATATTTTTTCCAAATTGATCGACTCTTCGGAATAAATTTGCAAAACAAAAATTTCTTTCTCATTTTCCATTTCACATAATGATTTTTCAGTTTAAAAAAATATTATATGCCAAATATGCCAAATCTGGTAACGTAGAACAAAGGAAAAATGAAGTCATGGTAACGTATAAGTTGAATTCTTAATTTCAAATGTATATCTTTTACACTGTATAGTAAATAAGATCTTTATAAATAAGTTTTCCTAATTCTACATTCTCTATATTTAATAGCAGCGGCTATTACTCCCTGGCAGCACGCCGTTAATTCTATTCAATTTCCTACAGCAATTTACGCGTTTATTTCCTTTCATAACTTTCGTCTTTCAATACTCTACCTTTTTTAATTTTCTCGACACCTTTGTTTATACACGTATACAATAAGCGAAGGTCTAACATTTGGTCACCAGTTGGTCTCGACCGCGCGGTATTACTATTATTAATACTTATTACCACCGAGGCATGGAACAACAGGGTCATGAAACAGTACTTTTAAAAGACATTGTTAACATTCGTTAAACAAAATTCACTCAGCAGAAGAATAGGTATAATTACAGAAATTATTTATTTAACCTTATTTCTTACATTGATAGTTATATTTTATATATGCAGTTATTTTTTCAATCGAAACTTATTTTTTTTTGTCGTTACTTTTTTGTGAGAAGCGTGCTTTTATTCTTTTTATTAATTTAGTATTAGTAGTTTATATAGTTAATATCCATAGAAGTAGGGACACGCGAAGTTTACTGTATCAAAGAAATTCGTGTCGAAAATGCACAATCTCCGTTGACTCGACATCCATTGGTGCCTCTCGAAATATGTAAATACCACGATGCCTGTGTAGGATCCGGTTACTGGAGTTGCTGTTTTATGTAAGTATCTTGTATGGCATAGCCACAAAAGGGCAAAGTATAAGCAAATATAGCTTGGACTAGAAAAACGTTCAGTCCAAGTGCCATAAATTAGCTTCCCCCATACTCACTCGCATCAGATCGGACAGAAAATTAAACCAATTTGAACGACCTGCGTATTACACGCGTTGCTATTCGTGCACGCAAGATAGCCTGGTACGAAGGCGAGAGAAAAAGAGAAGGCACCATATTCGACATTAGCACCAACGGGTTTTGACAGCCTATCGGCAGTTAATTCAATTACAACAGCTTAATCAGAACCTAGTGAGAGAAAGCTCTCATTTTTGTTCAGGAGAAAAGTTGATTTACATTCTGTCTTCATTTGACTACTATTGTCTTGAACAAAAGTATGTATAAGTATATGTAGTAATTTATCGTAAACACGTTTCGTGGAGCGTATTGTATTCTGTATACCCTGAACACTTATACATGGAGGGTGTTCGACTACTAGTGGGAGAAAATTTAAGGGGTGATTCTTTGGGGCGAAATAAGACGAAAATCAATTTGTTAGTCATAAGCGTTTAAAAATTGACCCAAATTTTAACAGAAAAAAAAATACAGATGTTGCTCTAAGAATATGCGAAGAGAAACGGGACTTCCACTTTCCCATGCAGCTTTCCCTTCCCAAAAAATATTGACCATGAAAGAGTGGGGATCGGCCTATTACGCCACATCGATACTAACGAGGGAGGATCAGTTCAACAGTATCAGTTGTCCTTTCCGAACGAAGCCCTTTGCATGCTTCCAGCAAATCGAGTTCATGTTCGGAAAACTAAGTTTTAGTTTATTTAGCGATTACGTAGTGATTATTTAGTAGTGTCGCGTATGTCGTTGTTATAAATAGTGTAAATTTATTATTGTAGGTTTTATTAATTATTGCAGGTTTAATTAAATATTGTAGGTTTTATTCATTATTGCAGATTAAAAAATAGTATAAATAGTTGTTATAAATTAATTTGTGTAGGTTAGAAATTAGTGTTAAATAGTCATAAATTAATTATTTTCAGTGTTAGTTTTGTGTAACGTGTAGAGTGTTAATTAATCGCGTAGTGTGTGAACATTTTTCGCGGACGGGACAATCGCGCAGTGTGTGTGGACAGTTTACGCGGACTTTCTGTGGTGTACGTGGACGTGCGGATTAATTTCATGGATACTCGTGGACAGGACAATGTTTGTAAGATAATATTCGTAAGAAGATATTTACATTTCTTGCGAATTTTATCGAGTAATCAGAGTTAATGCGATACAAGTGGATTCGACTCAAATACCGCGGTCACAAGTTATCGACATCTTCTACGGGATAAGTAGACAACTGTTCTACCGACTTTTCCTGCACGTCGTTGAGTCTTTAAAGTGACCGTACGCCCTTGACGAGCCGTGATCCGCTGACACTCATTTGGGTCAATTTTTAAATGCTTATAACTAACAAACGAACCATTTGTCGCAATTTTGTTATTCTTGATTTTTGTCTTATTTTCCCTCAAAGAATCACCCCTTAAATTTTCTCCCACTAATAGTCGAACACTCTGTATACACGGACGCGCATTGTAACGATTTGTACAAAAGCGGTTTATTCGGCAGTTTGCTGATTGTTAGTCAAACATGCTTTTGTATCTCTTCCATTTTGCATTAAAGTCTGACTGAGCATAACAATCCCGTTTATTCACTGACTCTCGTTGACGTCATGAATCTGCCGGCGTCTGGGAAACTGTTCGATCCGGAATTTTCCTTTTATTTGCGCCGAGACGGTTACATCGACGACGAATTTTAATCTTCGACCCTTTTGAAGAGTCGCGAACGCTAACGACGATCTAACAATATGTCATTTATTAAAAAATTACAATTCGTAGTAATATAAATTATAATTTAAGCAAATCAAGTATTCAAAGTCAATACTGTGACTCATTTGTCTCTTCTGTTTGTTCATGGATTCTAGTAACTATAATAATTATTTTCCTTTCACTCTGATTTCAGGTGTGCATTTTGACACGAGTACTGAAAGCCTGGTGAACGAAATCACCACCGCGGTCAAGGTGTACGCGTATGGAGTCGAGGACTTTCTGAACGATCAGGGAAACGCGCATCTCAGTCTGAACACTCATATCGGCTGTGAAGGCAGTTACGGGGAATCTCGATGGAACACTGGGGACCTGTTTTTCAAGTAATTCCTCACTTTGCAATATACACTACCTTCTCTCATAAGTACACATATATGTGTGCAATTTCTAGATAGTTATTTTAATTTGTTTCCTTTTTATATGAAATTGATGTAGTCAACATTGATATCAAGAATCATCTAATACGAGAAACCCTCTATAACACGGTTAGAGAATTGAGGAAACCCCTGAATAACATGGTACTTCAGCAACACGGTTTCGCGATATCAGAGTTATAGAATAGTGCAGTTTTATAAAATTTTTGAACTTTTAATACTTTTTTGATACTTTTAAAATTTTGTAATCCTGTAATTTTGTCTGCATCTGTACTTACAATTCTGAGTTTCGTATAACACAAATTCGCATAGCACTTCAATTTGGAGGAACCTTGTCACCGTGTTATACGGGGAATACCTGTATACACTACCAGTGCTCATAAGCACACATTTGCGTATCAACGGTTGTTTCAGTTTCTTCCTGTTTAAACCCTCATCTGGACAGAAGAGCCTCAGAGGCTCTTTTATTATTTCATCATAAACAATATAATAACATATGCAAATAATAATATTTACCTATAGTGAATAATAAAAAGTTTAATGTTACTATTTTACGAAATAAATGAACTGAATTAAAAATAAAATATTTTAGAATGATTAATTTCAGCTATTCTCTACTCGGAGCCTCTGAGGCTGTTCTCCATTATATCCTGGTAAAGGTTAAATGAAAATTGGTTTTATAAATACAGTAAATCTTCGATGAATGTTTGATGGCTCCTCGGCACTGACAAGGAGAGATCTCTAGATGTAACTGACTTTCTAATGAGAATTAGTACAGTGATAGAGCTTCGAATTCTGAAGCCAATGATATTTGTTTTAGCTACATGTGGTCACTAGTTTATGAAATATTTAATGTTCAGTGCCGAGGAGCCTTCGAACACTCATGGAGGATGTAGTGTAATATTATAAGGAATAACCTAATATATATGTATGATACATAAATGAACAATGTTTTAATGAACTCTGAGTGCAATCTTTCTAATGCGAGCATGTCACACCTTCCTGTTCAGGTACTTGAAGAACGTGTCGGTCGAGCTAGACCATGGAAAACCCACCGTGGAATTTACTCAGGACGGTGTCTTGAAAGCGGCACAGCTGAAAATTATGAATCTACGTCCCGGCGTGAGCAAACAACTCGTTTGGGAGGAGGTGAGTGACAAACTATCATACATTTATTATCTTGTTCCTGCTATCGCGCGATTTCCTTGCACCACGAATAATTTTCAATCAACGTGAAAAAGGTTTCAAAATTTCTAAATTATACAGTGACAATGAATTTGCTAGAACTAATTGTTAGAATTAATACAGTAAACATTCACCTTCCATTTTCACGCACAAAAAAAACTTTCTTAACAACCGAGCAATGCGGCGAACATCTATAGAATCAATGTTTTCCAGCTAATTTTGACCAGGCATGCGCGGTATAATCATCAACTATGCTCGGACAGACTATAAAAACCAAAGTCATAATAGAAAATAGAAACTGTGGCATATTGTAACTTGCGGTAAGTTTGACTCAGCCAGGGTAACTTTGTCTCAAGTCAGAAGATGATCATTTTCGATTCTGTTACATTAAGTTAATTTTCAGGTGAAAAAATATTTCACGCAAAAATACCTGCAAAATTGAAAATGATCATTTTCGGAATTTAGAACAAAATGACCCCCGACTGTGCCAAAGTTCCCCCAATGTTCGGTCGTGTTAGTCTGTTTCTACGTTTACAGGCTACACCGCCATGATTCCCTGTTGCCTTTAGGGGTTGATTTCTCTACCCTGTTCGCTTTGTGAGGGCGAGCACGCCGCGACTAGTTCGTGCGAGTAGCCTCGGCCGTCCCTAATCTAGTAAAACGTCCATACCAAAAGTCCTGACGTGATCCGCCGATCGAATGTGGGCTAACGGGAGATTGAAGCCAGAAAATATCACATTTGTTCAACCGTGCGCGAGAATGTGGATAAAGCGAGGAAAAATGACGGAAAACTACGCAGTCCGAAATCCAGAAAAGGGAATGAATTCATTAAGGCGTTGTTATGTAATACGTGTTAACGTTTAAGGCTATTTCGCTTCCTCAGCGAGGTTTATTTAATGTATAACCTGCATATGCAAATATAGTGCCCGTCGAAATTAAGTTGGTATTGTGGTTTTGGTTAATTTTTGCGGTGCAACTTTTATTAGAAAAGCGACAGAATGTGTAAGAGAATGAAGGGCAGCATCTGGACTAACAGTGCAATAACAATTGTACGATGTTAATAAAAATTTTCAACAAAAAGATGACCATTACTTTTGCATGCAGTTAGTACAATAGCACAAAATTAATAATGTATCTAACAAAAGGGTGTTCTTTTATTTTTATTTTGTCAGATAGTAAATGTAAATTAACATTACATAACTCCCAAATCGGTTAAGAAGCAGTTGCAGAAATAAGAAAAGCGAGAGGGCGCCACTGCTGTGGTAGTTATCCGAAGGTTGTGTCTTCGAATCCTGTTCCACCTGTTCTCTCGTCTTCCTATGTAGGTTTCTAGAGTAATATACCTACAGTGGCGAACAAAAGTATTTGCACAGGAGGTATGACTATACATAATGTTAAATAAATATGAAAAGAATGCAGTTTCTTGTTTAATCCTTTTTTCAAATATAAGTCTGGAGTCCGAAGTTCAAATATATTACAAGTCATTAAAGTTAAATGGACTTATAACAAAGAAAAAAAATAAAAATCATATCATGGCTCGTTTGCAGCGGAACAAAAGTATTGGCACACCTACGTTTTTTTAAATATAATTTATTATATTGTAAGATCTAATATTTGGTATTTAAACCTTTTCTTCTAATAACTTCTTTTAATCGATTAGGCATTGAATTCATTAATTTTTTCGTTATCTCTAACCCTATTTTATGCCATTCTTCTAAAATTGCTTGTCTTAACTGTTGTTTATTCACAATATGATGTTTTTTTAATCTTCGAGCTAATTCGTTCCAACTATGCTCGATAGGATTTAAATCCACTGACTGTAGCGGAGTGGGTAACGTATGAGGTGTGCTGAAAACTATCCATTGTCGAACAATATAGGCGGTGCGCTTAGGGTCATGATCTTGTTGGAAGTAATAGTTGTTTGCCGGGATATAATTTATTCACGCTTTTTTTAAGATTCTGTTTTAAAATGTTTAAATAAACACATTTATTCATTATATTATCAATAAACACAAGTTCTCCTAGGCCAGAAGAGCTCATGCTCCCCCATACTAGCACACCGCCACCCCCACGTGTGACCGTTTTACTGGTGTTCCTTTCATTTAATTCTGTGTTACATTGCCGCCATACTTGAACTTGCCCATCCGATTGATAAATATTAAATTTGCTTTCATCCGAAAATAATATTTTGTCCCAAAAGTTTAAATCTTTATTTACATACATTTTTGAAAATTCTAATTTTTTTATTCTGTTCGTCTTAGTAATGAGCGGTTTCTTTCTTGCGATTCTTGAATTATATCCGGCAGCTCTAAGAGTTCTACGGATAGTTATCGGATAAAACTTTACATTATTTTCATTTTCTAATTGTGCTGCTACTTCTGAAGAGGTAGTAGTAGGATTTTTCTTTATTGTGTTAATAATTTTTCTCTTCTCTCTAACGGTCAATTTTTGTGGCTGGCGACTTCTATCAGAATTTCTTAAATTTTCCGTGTTAGAAAATCGTTTAACGACACTTCTTATCGTAAAACGACTTCTATTTACTATTTTTGCAATAGCTTAGTAAGACTTTCTTTCTTTTGATAAATTCAATATTATTTTTCTTTCAGAAATTGTTGTCTCCTGCGATTTGCGACCCATTTTTGTGCGTTTTTGTTTTTACAACAATACTGGCAACAATTTATGATAAATGAACATCAAACTGAGTCGTGAAACATTCGCGGGCATGACAGTCGTACAAACATTCGAAATATTGTAGGCGGATCAAAAATCTAAGCGTTTCGTCTCGGGAATCGTCTATCAAGACTCGTCAGTGGGGCTGACGGTAGACGACCCCTACCCCAGACGCCTGGGTTGCTCCTCGGCGGAGCCCCTTAAGTAGCCAAAGGCTGCAATTACCGCTTACGAGAAAACTCGCCACCTAGCGGTCGTTACCAAAAACCCAAGCGACTGGGAGAAACGTCTCCACAGACCGCCTGTCCTATCAAATCTCCTACAATATTTATTTCAAAATACCCTAAAAACATGAAATTTTTATGTGTGCCAATACTTTTGTTCCGCTGCAAACGAGCCATGATATGGTTTTTATTTTTTTTCTTTGTTATAGGTCTATTTAACTTTTATGACTTGTAATATATTTGAACTTCGGACTCCAGACTTATATTTGAAAAGAGGATTAAACAAGAAATTGCGTTCTTTTCATATTTATTTAACATTGTGTATAGTCATACCTCCTGTGCAAATACTTTTGTTCGCCACTGTATGTAATATTTCTTATCTGCTCTTCTTCGAACTATCTGAAAATCGTCCATTCTTCACCAATCACCTACAGTACTTGCTTCCACCATCCAATTAGGAAAGGCCTTCGACCAATCAACCATTAAATGCCCCTTCTACATTCCAGGTAAATTTCATATCCACTTCATAATTTCTTCATCAGTCGTGTTCCGGAAACCAACCGTGCATTTTCTTATACATAGAAGTCGACTCACATTCTTGAATCGCTACTTGAGACCCGTGTCTATTTAAGTTGCGCTCGCTGTCTAGTTATTTCATCGAAGTCTGCGTGAACGATGTTGTGGATTTATTGGAACTCTTGGAAAAAAACCTTGGGATTTTTTTAGAATCGTAATAATGTTCCCCACAACATTTCACGACTTTTCAACATATACATATATCTGTGAAAAGTTCATTTGTGCAATTATTGAAACAGAAGTTGGAATTTACGAAATCCATTGTCTCTCTCGTGCATCGCGTATACATACACGGTACCCGTTGTTTATGTGAGTGTACGGACACAGCACACGGGCCACGGAGTCTCACCCCTTAAATTTGAGTTCGATTTTGAGTTTATCTTTTATTTTACTTTGTTGTTTATTTATGTTTTGCTGTTAAAAAATGACATAGTCAAGGGATAATCTAAAACAGTTAATTGAATTATATGTATAGAGGTTTTCCATGTCTACGGAAAATTAAATATAATGATCACAAGAAACTGAAATTTAAAAACCTACGTATGAAAAATTAGTTAATTTTTGTGAAAACTTCTGTTCGCCCGAATGCAAACCAAGACCTTATTAAAGCCAATTCACATTATCCGTCTAGCCAGCGGCCGGCTAGCCGCCGCCAAAACTTTCTCCAATACATTTTAATTGGTGGCATTCACACTTGTATGTAGTCTGCTGATTGCCTGTTGACCGCCAATCAGTGCCCCCGCACCTGGGCGCCCAAACCCAGGGACGGCCGGAGACCGTTTATTTATATATGGAAAATTTTGACTAATAAGAATAATAATCAAAACTTTTTGACGATTATTAACAGGGATGAAAAAAGTAGCATTTGTGTGAAAGCGCTTCTATACCGGGACGAGAAGCGCTCTTTACGACCAACGGTTCGCTAGCAGGCCAACAATCGCTTACATTTTCTTTGCAGACGGTTGTCGCCGGGATGGAAAAGTATCGTTTATGTGAAAGCGCTCCTATACAGGGACGAGAAGCGTTACCAATTTACGATCGACGCGACGGTTCGCTTGCAGGCCTACAACCGCTCCTAGTTTTGTGACCAACCGTTCTGTAGTAGAGTAACGAAAACGCAAATACCGATACCATTCCCATTCTATTTATAGACAAGTGTCGCGCCAATCGCCAAGCGCCAAGCTTCCGAAACCGAGTGTATCGAACCACTGACGAGGTATAGGATAGACCTATCATCTTATGGGACTTCGTGTCTCATGTTCTGAAATACCGATAGTGTAAAAAGTCAGGGATTTTCTGCTGCCCTCTACGTCATGAGAACGGTGAATTTGTGAACTACGTTAAATCCATTCGAGCTCAACTAGTCTAACTTCTACAGTGTTGTAGAATCTAAAGTACAATGTTGTCAGATCATGAGTGTTCGGTACGTCGGAAAATCATCGAAGGGACCATGGTCGTGAACGGATTCTTTTCCGTCCGTTCACTGTAAAGTAG